TACAGTATGCGGCAAAAAAATGGCTACACTCATGTCTGGATATACCTCATCAAGAACTATGACAAGGAGAGATTTTACAAAAAATGTATTTAATTATAAATACTTGACTTAACATCTGACAATATCTTTTACTCAATATTGGCACCATCAGCCCTGATCACAGCCTCCAAACGGCCTCTGAAGGCTGAGCATGTCTTGATGATGTAGTCCTCCTTCATGTTGGACCAGGCCTTCGTGATGGAGGACTTCAGGGCTGCCACAGATGAGTGAGGTTTGTTGCAGGCAGCCTCCTCTACAAATGCCCACATGCTGTAGTCCAGGGGATTAAGATCTGGGGAGCTGGGGTGCCACATATCCTTGTCCCAGAAGGACACAAAGTTGACCTCCAGCCACTTCTGGGTCTTCTTCACAGTGTGGGCAGGGGCCCCGTCCTGCTGGAAGACATATTTGGTGTCCAGAGGGTAGCTGGACTTGATTCAAGGTTTGACAGGCTTTTCCAGTACGTCAATGTACACTTTAGTGTCGACCTTGAGGCCCTGTTCAATGAAGACCGGAGGCATTTTCTTGCCATCTGAGGCCACAAGCCCAAAGACCATCACAGAGGCCGGATGCTTGGTCTTGAAGGTGAACCTGATGTGCTCAGGGACATCCTCAGGCCTCTGATTGCTGAAGTAGCAGTCATGGTGACTGTTGGAGGCATGATCGATGCAAAAGAGCTTCTCATCTGTGAAGAAATTCACTGGTTTTCTCTTTTTGAAGATCTGGAGGAGTTTCCAGCTTCTTGCTACTCTCTTAGTCTTGGAGGTCTCATTTAAGAGCTGCCTCTTTCCCCTGGCCCTTGACCTAACTCCCAAATCCTCTTTGACAATCCTCCTGACTGTCCTCTTGCTCACGTTCGTTTCCTTGGCCATCCTCATGGACCGGATGGGGTTGAGCTGGATTTTTCCTTTTATCGCTCTGATCGTCACCGGAGTCCTTGCTGAATGTGGCCTTCCACTTCCAGGCTTCCTCTTGACATTGCCCGTGGCCTTAAATTTGTTGAGGACCTTGTACACAGTAACCCTGTGGATGTTCGGGGCCTTGGCAATCTCAGTGGGGGTCTTCCCAGCGTGAGACAAATTGATGATGGCCTCTCTTTTGGAATCCATTGCGACTAAATGCGAACAAATCTCAAAATCTTGGAACAATTTATAAAGAATCACCCAACCTCTACTTAAGAAAAAAATATTGTGGCCCAGTTCCACTTCTGGAAGAAGTTATAAATCTGGACATGAGTGTAGCCATTTTTTTGCCGCATACTGTATGCTAACAGTCATAGTCATTTTCAGAATGTGCACTGAATACATGGCACCAACTGACTATTATTTCTTTGCAAATCTGAAAAAGAACCTCCAAGAAAAATGTTTTGGCAACAAGGAGGAGCTGAAGTCAGCTGTGCAAGATGGCTTTGACACCAAGAAGAATCTCTTTACAATTTTGGTTTTGGTATGTTGCATGATTGTTGGGAGCATGTCATTGAGCTTGATGGTCATTACATTGAAGATTGATAGTAAAATCAAATCTGTGCCTACTTGGTTTGTGGGTGAGGCCAAGAATGTATTGTCAGACTTGGTAAGTCCTATTTGAGATAGTCTTCAACCCATGCTGACCTCATGCCTTGCCAATCTCATGCAAATGGCAAGATGGCCTGCTGCTAGGCTTATGTAGCATGCTGCCCTCTGTGGTATCAAACGTCCACCAATCTGTCTCCTAACTCATGTTCTGCTCATATGACTAGAACTGACAGTCTAAGGCTGATTTCAAAACTGTTGTCCAGTCACAGTTAAGTTTAAATTCAGTTCCAGTTTTAGTTCAGTTGCAGTTACATTTGGGATTTTATCATAGGAGTTGTTGGTAAGAACACTGTGGAACCTGTCAGACCATAGTCTGAACTGAAACTAGAACCAAACGGCAACTGAACTGTTACGATCTGAACTGTTGAAATCAGCTTATGTCTCATCAGCATTACACAGATTTTATTCTCAAAATAATTGAAGGTTGACTATGCAGGCCTTTTATGCCTAGGTATATGGATGATAGTGAGTATTCACTCTGGTATTGTCTGCTTCAGTGATGGATGGATTCCAAATGTCATTGAAGACAGTTCATTGACTGGTATTTGATATCTTGTGACAGGTCGATGGAAAGACAATAAAGGCTCAGATTTGGGATACAGCTGGACAGGAGCGTTACCGAGCCATTACTTCTGCGTGAGTTACCTGAACCTTGGATTTAGATAATCATTTTGAAAAACTTATCTAGGTGTCCTTTTTTTACATACTCATATTTTTTCGCTTGCAGCTTAATATATTATATACATTTTACTGTTACTGATGCCAGTAGTTTTTCCACAGAGCTCAAGCCAGTAGATATGATGTGTGTTGTTTTTCTTGCAGATATTACAGAGGAGCTGTTGGTGCTTTGCTTGTTTATGACATTGCAAAGCACATCACATATGAAAATGTGGAGCGATGGTTGAAGGAATTGCGTGATCATGCAGATCAAAACATCGTGATTATGTTGGTTGGGAACAAGAGCGATTTGCGGCATCTTCGAGCTGTCCCCACAGATGAGGCTAAAGCCTTTGCTGAGAAGCATGGCCTCTCTTTCATCGAAACCTCTGCCTTAGACTCCACCAATGTTGAGACTGCTTTTGTGAACATCCTCACAGGTGAGCAGTGTGACTTGCACTGTGTGCTTCTCAAAGGGCAAAAGAAAGTGAAATTCATTCCCAATGTCTAATTTCCAGGTTTGGATTAATTGATTACTGCCACCAATCTTTTTGTTAATTGACATTGTTCCGTCTTGGAATCCTTCATCGATATATGATTCTTACTGATATCAATATATGGAATGCCTTCATTTCTTAATAGATGTTGCCAGTAATTTCTTAAGATGATTTTTTTTTTTTTACAGCATTTGCATCTTTAGTGAAGGCATTATTGAGACCTAATAGCTTACTTTTGAGCTTCTGATATGAATTGAACAGGAAAGGAAAAAATAGCCCTTTAAGATTCTCTGTTCCAAATCCTTCTGTGAGGAAAAGGATGGGAGGGAGACTTACAGGACTGGTCTCTGTTTATTTCCTGTTATTTTGCACCTCTATGAACCAGATGGTATCAATGGGAATAGGATTGACAATGAACTGTCTTAAAAAGAAATAGCTAAGATGTGGTTTTGCAAGCTTTTATTTTTTTATCTTAAGTCATTTTTAACAACACATAACAATAGATTTGAAGTATGGCTGATATTGAGAGATAATGAACTTATGGAGAGGAAATCTTCAAAAATACAAGTTTATTGATAAAAATTTGAGAAAAGGATGAAGATAATGAAGGTGCCCATCACTGCTGTCATCCTAGCCACCATTATGTGATTGCCAGCCACCTATCACATGTAAACTTTTTTTTATTGATGCAAGGATAGTAGTACTTGTGAAAGTAAAACCTCCAGTTCAGAGAAGAAGAATAGACCATGCTCATCATTGGAAGTCATGGTCAGGGAACTCAATCTGAAACCAGGACAAAATGGAATTTCTTTATTTAGAAACCATATTTAGACTGGCATTTCTATGCATGTTCACAATATCAGGTTTTCCATGAAAATTTGGTCCTCATCATCCATGCATTTTTGTTTAACAAAGTAATTGTTAAATTTCTTTGACACTGCACAAGAGTGCAGGTTTTTTTTAGCTGGAGCAGCAAAAGTCACTGACTGATGGCACCAAAGTTTTGACTAAAGGATATTTTCCTGTGCACGTCTTTTGATGAGCAAATGACAGAATCCATTGTCAGCCTATGATTTGCCAATTGGTTAGAGTTCCCAACAAACACTGTATGGAATGTCATCAAGTAGCAATCATGTTGGGATTCTTTCTGTCTCACCTTAAACTGAGGAACACCAAGTTTCTGGCTTTTGTATATCCTTAATGTGATGAAAAGTGTGTATCATTGTATGCCATGTTAGACTAAGGCTAATTTAGATTATATTCCATCCAAGGTTCAACAGAAGCATTAGTTATGATCATAGAATCAGCAATATTGCAATTGAAAAAAATGACACATCTTCAAATGGGAAGTGGATTGGTCAAGGAAGATACCTGGCAAGAAATCTTTTTGTTAATTACCCTCTTGTCAAACACCAACCAATTCCATCCCCACTTATTCTGCTGCCCCCAGAAGTGCACAGTATAAATAGAAGAACCAACTTGTAGGCTTCCCTGCTAGTTGTGATGTGATTGGGACCATCTGCATTTGCTTTTTAAAATTAATTAGTCATTTAACAAGCTCCAATTATTCTGAACAGGAATCAAAATGAGCAGAGATATGCCACTTCTGACCAAATTTTGGGTGTGAATAATTTCATTCAAACTCTTGAAAGCTTGAAGGATGGAAGGGATACCACTAAATGATTTCATCTCCATGGGTTCTTTGTCTCCCAAGATATGTAGTGACGTGCCTTGGAAAAGATGCTGGAAGCAGAAGTTTTTGATCCATCAAAAAGTTGAGAAATTTAACATTTAAAGTCCTGTGCTACATATATTCAAATTAGTTTAATTATTTTCACATCTCCCTCAGTACAACTGTTTTGCTTGTTCTAAGGATCAATTTGATTTAAAACACTAAATAAAAAAACTTGAAGAAGTGGCAACTGAAGAAGTGCCAATTGAAAATTTGATGAAGTGTCAACTACTGAGGAGGTTTGGTTTTAGCTTCTGAAATCAAAATTATTTCTCCCATCCTCATACTTCTTTGCTTTTCTTTCTCAAAGAAAGTGTACTTGAATTCCTTTTCATTGAAACTGCATGTGAATAAAAGTACCAATACAACTACCTTAGAAACAGAATGGCATTTCACTTTAAATTAAAATGGTGTGCTCTGAGATTATTTCATGCAGTTTCATTGTGGCACATTTTCACCTTATTCACCAGAAAAAGTTTGGTTTTGAATGTGTAACTTTATCTTGCCTTGTTTTCCAGCCCTCTGACAATTTTCCTGTAATTTGCAAATAATTCATTAATAAATACAAATACAGGGTGGTCTTAAAGTAACTTGACAATTCCCAAGTCTAAAAATTTATTGATATAAAAATAGCACATTACTAAAAATTTGTTGCTGCTTACTTAGGTATGACATCTTAAGGGTTCAGGGATTTCCTCAAACCTGTAACAATGTATACAGAATTTTACGTTAAAAACAATGAATATGAATATCCTAACAAAATTTTCACTTAAAAGTGTCAGGTTACTTTTGGACCACCCAATTGTTGTAATTGTTTGTAATTGTTCCTCCTCTTAATCTTCTATCAACCCTCCCCTGAAGAAACAGCCTGTGTGAAGCTAGAGGAAGAAGAAGCATGGGTGTTGCAAAAGTTGAATATGCAGATGAGCACCAACATTGAGATGTTCAGTTAGCCCATATGTTGAGAGAAATGAGTTCTTTGTGGGTTATGAAACCCTATCTTAGGCTGCACTGCTTCAGTTCTCACACTTTTCTCTTCTCACTTTTCCTTAAAGAGAGGGAGGCCAGATCTGTTATATCTTAAAGTTCTATCATAGGGACTTCATCTTACTCTCAGAATAAGATGACATTTGCAACTCTGCCTTTGGTCACTACATCTGTGCAAATTATTTTTATTCTTCTATACCAATACTTCCTCATTCCTTGTTGCTCTACAAGAAGGCATACTCTCAAATGTTCAGCCTAGGACCATTCCCACATTTTCTGTATTTTAAAGAAATTAGAATGCTGTGATGGGTGAAGTGAGAAGGGCAGTAATCATTCTAATAGGTTCAATGTGATGGAATTGGTTTGGCTTGGTGTGGTTTTTCAGAGATATACCACATAGTGTCAAAGAAACAGATGAAAGATCCCATGGATGACGAGAGCCCATCGGCTAATGCTCGTCCCCTCATGCTTGATCCACCAGAAAACTCTGACCTCCGTAAAAGACAGTGTTGCCAAGCCCTCTCTGCATAAGAGTAGGTGTTGATGATACCTCCATGTTCAACTCAAGCACCCAGTTCCAATGCTCTGTTGTGCTTTCTCCCTTCACCCGTTGCATGCATATTTCTTCTCCTCGATCACTGCATAGTGCCACAATACACCCCATCAAATGATTCCCCTATGCATGTTGCTGTATAGAGGTGGAGTTGGAAAAATGGATTTAGCCCTATTCAGAGCATGAAAGCTATCTATGACATGCAAGAGTGTGAGTTTCCCTACCCTTGTATAAATCCCCATTTTATCATGTGCTTTCAGTTGTGTAATTTCCTCAGGAATCATTTTTACAAGTGTCAGGGTTATGGCCTGAATGCTGAAACCTCCTTTAGATACCAATCCTTTAAGAATACATGGACTCCTATGGGAGAAAAGGAGCTCTTTAACTTAAAGACCCCTCTATCTCCCTTAAGTGAGGTTTGTGCATTTGGGCCTGCAGCTTGGTGCTAGATGCACATGATAGACTAACTTTCCAATTGTGTGTGTGTTTTTTTTTTTTGCAGAGATCTATCGAATCGTGTCATCAAAGCAGGTGCGAGATGGTCCTGAGGACGAAGCCCCTGGTAACAATGTCCGACCCATTCACGTTGAGCCAACCGAGAACTCGGATGGCAGGAAAAAGCCATGCTGCACATAGGCCTAAGCTCATACCCCCTCTATTTTTTTTTTCTTTCCTGCACTTCCCCACGTATCTGTCTACAACCCCCTCATCTGCCACAGTCCATAATCGAAAAGAAATAAAACATGCTATGAAGAGTACTCTAATTGAAAGATGGGGGTGAAATTGTTGGTACCGGTATATCTCAAATTGAGCAAATGTTGCATCTGCTACTGTGATGATGTTGATGGTGGAGATGATCGTGATGAACATGAATTTTCTCTTGTCCATCTGAGAGAGGCCAAGGCCCTGATTATGATTTTGCACACCAATCATCCCAGATGTTTTCTTTCAATAGACATATAGCTATCTATTTTGTCCCCCTTTTATTTTAAGCCATTTATTTTGTAGCCATTATGATTGGTCATAGGCAGGAAATGTGAAGGGCAATATGGTCTTCGCCTATGCATATCATAAATTTTCTTGTAGGTTTATTTTATGGTTTCCAAATTATTTTTCAGTCTGTGTCCCCTTGTATTTCTATTCATCTCCATTTTATGCCACTGAGATCGGGGATATGCGCTCAGGTGGACTCACTCTGACCCCAGTACTTTGTGGTGCCATTCCTGCTGCTGATGTCTTGATCTTGAATTGAATATGAAGAAACTGTGCAGATGGAGCCTCATTCATTTGGTCATTCAGTCATTGTGCCTCTTTGTTTTTTTTTTCTGGCGCTTGCTCGGTCTCTGTTTGAATTCTGGAGTTCATGTTAGAAGAAAAGAATTCTTGCATGAAGAGTCTGGTTCCTGTTCTTCATCTGAAGCCGCATGACAGTAGAATGTTGGCTCATTTGGAATCATGTGAAGAAAAAAAAGATTCAATTTTGTATATGAATTGCAAAGAATTTCTTCCAATATATGAGTATAGCTGCCAAAATCTTGGACATAATGATACAGAAAGTCTTTATTACCATAAGCGTGGGGGGCACGGGAACTCAAGACCGCTGTTCTCGTGCGTTTCATGTGCCTTTCCCTTCCTTTTTTTTGAGACGGGGGAGGGGGTGCGCTTGCCTTTCCTGCCCAACCCCTTCATTCCGAAGCTACGTTACTCTATCGTCTTCTCAAATACATTATATAACGCACCTATGATATGGCGAAATGCCTATGTTGCAAGAAATGTTTGTAATTCATCTGCCGCTCGGCATTGCTTGCGTTCTGAAAATTTTTATTTAGCCTCAACCTCGAAACGGACGAGATGGTCATGATATGGGGGGGGGGGGGTACGTTTATGACATCGCTGTTTCTTGACAGCTGCATCATGTAGAAGAAAGCAACCTAACTCGGAATTACTTTTCCCTGGAAGCTCTTTTCTGAGCTCTACCAGCGTTTTCAGTATGAAATACGCTGACCCAGAAAGGAGGCTCTCCTCTCATCTCTTTTAAAGGGTTGGAAAGGATTTTAGAGAGGGACTTTTAGCTTTAATGATGTCAGATAAAAATTAATGTGTCAAAATGTCATGATGGTCGTTTTGTATTTTCAGTTTTTCTTCAATCTTGCCATAGGTCTAACGTGATTTTCGATGGAGTGCTCGGTAAAAAGATATTTGTATATGAAAGATCGCAACTTCCGCTTAGCTAATCGATGAGATCCAAAACATCGGCGTTTTGACACCGAAGTGCATTCTTCGAGCCTTGAAACGAGTAGCAGGGTATCGCGAATCGAAAAGGTGCAGGGTAATGTCCTCATTTGAATATGAATGAAAAGCAGTGTGACCTGCGGCGGGAAGAAAGTCCCATGTCCATTTCCCCGAATGAATAGCCGAGTGTACGTCGTTTCCACATCTCATCGCCTCGTGAAGTTTCGCACCGAGGTCATACCCCAGAATTTAGAACTTCTCGAAGTCTCCATACATTGAGAGAAACGGGCGCAACTAACTAGCCGGAGCCGCCATCGCTAAGAATTCTTCCAACCGGCTCGAGCTCACATTTCATCCCGATATTCAAATCAGATTTTAGAACATGGAGTCGCAATCCGATTCAAATCCCCCAAAACATTGGAGTGGTGATTCTAGAATTAGACAACTTTCCAAGTAGGGTAGAATTAGGTTTGGACGCTAACGTTTATTGCTAATAAATACGCATTCGCGAGGTCGACATCAGAGAGTACCTAACCCAAGATGACCATGTTACGAAGCGAAAGACTTGCGGATCGTTGAGCACGATTTCGAAATATCCCGGGCAGAAATAATGCATATGACAGGAGAAATTCAAGAAAATTTACGGAGACCACCTTAGAAGCGCTTCCCATGCAGTATTGTTAATTCTGTGATCGATTCTTATTCCACAGGAAACTTGGGAACGTAGAGTGCTGTTTCAAAGGAATACGCATGCCATGAGCAGATTTTCGCCCTGCATATGGTGTGTCCAAACTACGTCGCGTTCGAATTCGATTTTTTCACTCTAATTTTGTACACCCACGTAATTGGGTGCTATAAAAGTTTTTGATGGTCATCATCTTTATCACACTCGTACCTACTCGTATTGTGCTGCTGGAGGCAAAAAAAAATGAAGTATCTGGGTTGTACCATTAAGGCGTGACGAGCGAATCCCAATCCTTTCCCGGCTTAGCCGTCCGAACGTTGGCGGTTTTACCCTACGTGTTATCGAGTCGGGCTCAGGATTCGATTCGGGATCCTTTATTTTTTATTCACTCTGGTTTCTGAAGGGTCGTCCTATCATAGGCCGAATGATTTTCTGCGGATACAACGAGTTTCGTCGAACTTTTTCAACCGTATTATAGCACGAGTGAAGCTTCGGCTGATACTCGCAACGAGACGCTTTTTCGAAGAAAACCTCACCCCGTTTCGGTGGAACGAAACGCATCGCGTCCGGTGTGGGACGATAGCCGGTCGAATCGCTCGGTTTTCGTCGTGACGACTGGCTTCGGCTTCGAGCACGACCGAGATCGTCTCCTTCGGGGAAATGCTAACACCCGCCGAGAACCTCCGACTTCCACGCGGAGACCATCTAGATGGAGCTTCGAACGCTCGAAGGCGTGGATGACAGGAGGGGGGAGGGGGGAAGGCACGGGGTTCTGGTCCTCCGTGCACCCTCGCAAAAGAGTTCCCTCCGACCCGCTGTGCACCTCGCAAAGGAGTCCTCTCCGACCCGCCGTCCACCTTGCGAATGAGTTCCCTCTGACGACCATTTGAGTTAGAGGTCACGGGCATCTTTTACCTAGCGCTCCTACACGAGTGGAAATCCATGCGAACATCTTTCTGCATGCACTCACGAAACGTCAAAAATTGAGGACGACTGTGTTCCAAACTCCACGTGGGAAATAGAACGTTACGTTTGTGTCGGCTCTCTTCGCCTGAACACGTTCGACAAATGCCGATCGAGTGGCTCGCGCCACTTTCAACCGGTACGGACATCGGCACGAAACTGCGAACCGCGAGACGAACTCGGTCGATCCCATCGACGGTGCCGATACTCAGACCGTCGAATGCCTGTCAAAAACTCGGTCGGTCTTAAAGATTCCGAGAAGATGCACGGCACCGACCAGGACGTGCCTCATTTAGACCACCACCGAGCAGAATTCCACTCGAAGTTTTAAAAAACAAATGAAAAA